AGGCGGGGACTGGGGCAGCCACCAACGGCCCTGGGGATGCTGGCAGGGAGGAAGAGGAGGAGTACCGGCTGCTCACTGTCACCCTCTCCAAGCTGAAGCACTCGCTGGGTGGGTGGCACGTGGGTGGGACCCCAGGGGTGGGGTGGGGACCCTTCTCTTGGCACCAGCATCACTGGGATGGGTGAGAGCCCCTTGGCAAGGGGCACCCCACTTAGGGGACAGGGAGCAAAACCCCAAGTACTGCCCCTGCCTACTCCTTCAAAACTAGATGGGGAGAAGAGGAGCTGCCACTGTCTGGTGCCCTCGTCCCTGTAGGACCTACCAAAACAGGGCAGGACAGAGGCACATCTGCCCAGGGGGAGGGGGGTGCCATGCCCATGAGTGAGTGGGGGTCTCAGCCTACCCGGGTGCGAGGGTCTCACGGCTACCTCACAGGGATCAGCATCTCCGGCGGCATCGAGTCGAGGGCGCAGCCGGTGGTGAAGATCGAGAAGATCTTCCCTGGGGGAGCTGCCTTCCTCAGTGGCGTCCTCAAGGTACAGGGGGACCTCAGGGGGACAGAGCGCACCCCGGGGGGTGGGCAGGCTTCCAGATACTCCCATCCTGCGGTGCCGCTGGGTGCTGGCAACCCCCTGGCACCCCAAAAGCATCTGCACTTCATCCTGCTGCCTTCTTTTGCGGCGGCCAGGCCGGGCAGGAGCTGGTGTCGGTGGACGGGGAGAACCTGCAGAACGTCACCCACCAGCGGGCTGTGGACATCATCCGCCAGGCCTACCGCAACAAAGCCAAGGAGCCCATGGAGCTGGTGGTGCGGGTGGCCGGAGCCCCCCTGGAGTGACATTGCACCCCCCCCTTCGAGGAGCCTTCCCGCACTCTGGAGGAGCCGGCTGGCTCATTCCTGCACCGAGCTGTGGCTGGTCTCAGCACAGCCAGAGGGCACAAGAGCTGGAGCTGCCCCATGGGCATGGAGGAGCTGCCTGCAGCAGGACCCAAGGGGGGGGCATGTGGCCCCTGTCCCCCCCTCCAGACATATGGACGCAGCCCTGAAAAAAACCACAGCCAGGGGCTTGTTTTTAATGGGCGTTTCCGGGTGGTACATGGGCGAGCCGGGCTCTGGGAATGGGACACAACCAAAATAAAGTACAAAAATCCCCCCCCGGAGCTGGGGGCGACCAAGCCAGACCTGGGCACGGCCAGGCTTTTCCTTTGGTTTGACTCCCCTGGGTGCCCAGCTGGGCCCCCCACCTCTGCCCACCCCAGGGGTGTCCCTGGGGTGTCCCCAGCTGGCACCCCTCTCCCCTGGCAGGCTGGGCATCACAGGGGCACGGGCCAGGCTTTTTTGCAGGGAGAGGGTAGGGGGTGGGGAACAGAGGGATGCGAGGGGCAAGGGCATGGGAAAGGCACTGAGGGCAAGCTGCCCTGTGGCTGGGGTGAGGGGGGCACAGACAGGTGGGGTGTGAGCTGGGAGAGGGTGGTACGTTTTGGTAGGTCCTATAAAAATAGAGTTATTTAAAATGGCACAGAAACGAATCCCCTGACAAACACACGGGGGGGCGAGGGAGGGAGGCTAGCATGGGCAGGGACAGGGCACACACCATCCCCTCTGTAAGTGGCTGGGTGACAGTGCCAGCAGGGACGATAGGGAGGGGACAAGCCAGCCCTCCCCCTGCCCAAGGTGACCCTGGCTGAAGCCAGCGCTGCTAATCTGGGTGCTAAGAGGATCAGCGGGAACCAGCTCTAGGCAGCCCTGAAGCCGGGACTCGGCACCCACCTGGCCCCACATCTCACGGGCACCCCCCTGCCGCGGCAAGTGCCGACGCACCCTCGCCCCAACACCTCGACGCTGGGGAGGGGGCAGCGCCTGCGGTCCCCTCTGCCCCCTCCCAGTGCCAGTGGTCTCTGCAGAGCTGGTGGGAGAGCAGGGATATCCCCACAGCCCCACAGCTCCCAAAATCCCAGGGGCTGGAGGCCCCCTCCACCCTCCAAGCACAAGGCGAGGGCAGGCAGCATCTCAGATCTCGGTGGCCGTGATCTCCTCGAAGGGCGGGTCAGAGCCAGGGGGCCAGCAAGGCTCGGGTGGGGGGTCTTCACCCTGGAGCCGGAGATGCTGGAGCCGCTGCTCGAGCCGCCGGTTGCGGCGGTACATCTGGATGTAGCTGTATTGCAGCTGCTTCTGGTAGCGGATGACCCGTTCCTTCTCGCCCTGCCACGTGCCGCGTTCCTGCTCGAAGGCGTCCCGCTGCTCCTGCCCACGTCGCCGCTCCAGGGCCACCTCTGCCCGCAGCCGCTCCAGCTGCCGCCGCAGCCCTGTGCTGCCCCGGGGCTCCTCGCTGGGTTGGGGGCAACCCTCGCTGGGTGGGGGGCACCCCTCGCCGGGCTGGGGGCATCGCCCGCGGGTGGCTTCTCGCAGCCCTGCCACCTCCTGCTCGAGCCGGCCGGCTTTGGCACGGAAGAGGTCGGCCTCGCTCTTGCGGCGCTGCAGTTCGTTGGCGCAGACCTCCAGCTCCAGCGCCTTCAGGCGGGCAGCCTCCTGCAG